TTGACTACTCTAGAAACTTTAATGATTCGATAAATTTCAGTAACTTGAAAGGTAATTTTCGATAACGAAATTTTTTTTACAGAATTTATTTCAATTCCTCATCACTGGAGTAGTTCAACTTACATTACATATCTAGAAGTTGTGAATAAAACGACAGGATAGTTAACATAATGTTGTAAGCTTAAGGTTATATTTTCTTTCCAATCTGTAACCCTACCTATACTCTTTTCATTATAATTATCATTATTATTTATCCTTATTTTTATATTTTTCCTTATACTGATATTTATCTTTTTTAACTTTCACCCACCCTCGCTTTTGTCCTCAGAAATGTAAAGTGCTTAAATTTACCTTGGTCTTCGTCTTTGTTATTATCTTTCATATCTTTGCTTTTATGGTGCGATGATGATATGTGAACATGTCAGATTATGCGGTGCGATGTGATGTAGTCTGATGTTATATCATGTGATGACATATCTTGTGATGTCATATCATTTGATGTCATATCATGCAATGCCATGCCATATGACTTAATATCACTTGATGTCATGTCGTGTAATGCCAATGTGTTCACATGTCATAAGCCGATCATTATATCGATAACACTGCCGATAACCTTGCCGATAAATATACCGGTACCAATGTTATCGACATGTCGAAAAATGTAACATATCAAAAACGACTAACTCGTCAATAAATATATCGATAACTGTATATCATTATACCGATAACAAGAACGATTATTATATAGATAACGATAATAATTATTAAGTCAATAACAATAACGATTATTATATAGATAACCGTATCGATTATAATATTGATAAAAACATCGATTGTTTTACCGATATTTATATCGAGTATTATATTCATTAAAATATCAATCTTCCTCCTCATATTTTTTTCATATTTATCTTTATTTTTGCAGCTTCCCCTTCGCATTAACCTTAAAGTGTTTAAATTTATTTTGATCTTCGTTTGTGCCTTTTTCTTTACACTTCTTTACTTTTCTGTTTGTTTTGACCTTTCCTTTGGCCTTTCTTCTTTTCTTCATCTATGTATGTATTAACCTTTACTTTCGTTCTTGTATTTGGCTTAATCTAAATCTTATTCTTAAGCCGCTTATTAGCACGTTTTTGCTAAATCAATACCATGTGCATGAATATAAGGAGCACTTGTTTCCGCTGCAACCTATTCCGCCCAACCATATCCGTGTGAATCATTTCCGTTGATTTTGGCAATTTACTCCCAACCAACCAATCGCCGGTAAAGAAGTTTCACTTCAAAAATTCAATAAATCTTCTTACCCTTTCAGTTGCCTTAATTCTTATGTATTTCTCATTGTTTTCTTCTTCGATTTTATCTTAAGTCTTGCTTTCACTGCTTTGTCTTAATCGTTATCATTTATACTTTCATCATCACATTGTTTATTCATCAAATCTGCACCGTTCGTTCGATTTTCGAAAATGAGGTGTCAAATGAAAGAGCTTGGGCTGTACATGCTAGGGCTTACCGTAGATATTTGGCAGTTTATGTTCAAAAATTTTTTTATATGAAAAAATGCGGAGCACCGTCAATAAAAAAAATTGCAAAAAATCAACGGTAAGTCCAAGATACTTAAAATAAAGCTGAATACCAAAATTTTGTCTAAAGATGTTGATAAACAAGTTAAAAATTTCGGTCAAACTTTGCAGAATTTTCATAGTTTTTGACAGAGTGTGAAATTTTAATTTATATCGTATTTGATAATAAATAGCTATACTTTTATAAAAAAAAAAAATAAACATTAAAAGTTTTTTTTTTGGTTCACTGTATGTGTATATGAATAACTGATTTATCAATTTGACCAACCTTAGTACAGTTATTGATCTTGGCCTAAAAAACCTATATGTTGAAAATTTTCGAAATCGGACCAAAATTACGACCACTTTCCACTTCCAAAAATAAAAACGCGTAAAAAATGTTGAAAGCTTTGTTGGAATTGCCCATATATGTACATATTTCTTTTTTTCCTTTCTTGAATTGTAACAATGTATTGCCATGCCACTTACTTTAGCGATTGCTTAGAAAGAATCTCACTCCTTCGCCCTCGCATCTTCGCTCACCACACCTAAACGCCAATACAGTAAATGCTTTTCCGATAATTTTTTGTATAATTTTCTACATCCTCAATTGGCATAATTTTCACATTGACTTTTACTGCAACAATTTACACAAGCGTGCAATTTACGCGCATACACACGGACGTGTTTATGTATACATACATACATACATACATACGTATGTATTTATGCAGTACACTGTTTACAACCGCATCCATCTCATAATCAACCGCAATAAATGCGGAACTCGCTTGACTGAAGCTGCTGGAAGCCACAACGAGGAGCACTAAGATGAGCGTAATGATGAGCGTTGAAGTAACGGTTGAGAGAGGGTTCGGAAGTGCAAGGGTAGCAATGCTATTACCGCACAACGTATTTGCCACATTTGCCGCATACCCCACCTTGACATTTAATAACTTAAGCATCTTGCTGGCAAGTGTTTATTTATACATGCGCTTATGCATGTACATATATGTATATGTATGTATGTACGCCTGACGTCTTATCGTTATCAAGAATATTATTATTTTTGATGTTGGCATTTTCGAGCTACCGTTGTGTCGACAACTCATAAAAAAGTCACCACGAAGACGTAGTAATAATTTCGACTTACGCTTCATCGAGCAGAAATTTTTTTCCTGCTTTTAAACAAAAAATAAATAAAACGCTGCTGATTTCTACGACACATTGCTGTAGGGGTGCCGATGTGTGTGTGTGCGGGTGTGTGTGGGTGTGGCGAGGGTGTGATAGATGTGCATGTATGTGTTAACCATTGTACCTTAAAGTGTTTAATGCGACATAATTTTTCGGCTTAAGTACTTGCAATTACGTGAAATGTGTTAAGTGGCTTGATGAAAGATGACAATGGAAGATTAAGAGCGGAAATGACAGCAACAGTCGCAACAGCAATGTCAAGCACACGACGCGTGACCAATTGCTGCAGAAAAAAATTATCAATTGATAAAAAATAACCAACTTGTAGTAGGATTTTTTGAGAAATTTCTATAAAACATATAACTTGTAGTTAGCCACAAAAAGCTAACTGGAAACTAATTTAGATTGTTTTCTTCAAACGAGTTTCTATTTAAATATCCTCATGCAAATTTTATTTTGAATACACTTTCTTTCTGCACTTCACAAATACATTTTCGAATTGAGGAGAAATAAAAGGAAGATCGAATTGTTATATTATCACTTTGAAGTTATTCTGACGGAGTTCGAATGTGGGACCACCCACAGCAGAATCTGTAAACAACTATGTAATGTAAATAAATAAAAGAGTAAAAAAGCAAAAACAAAAGTCAGTCGAAGTCGAATGCACCGCCATCGCTTTAGAAATGGAGTTAGCTCACCTCAAAGCAAATACAGTGTGTTAAGTAGACGCACAAATTCGTAGGATTAACTTTCGCCGTACATATGAGCCGTTCAGTGCACACCTCGCTTAACTCCACTTTTTCTCAAAATCTTAAAATTAGGAGTAGCAAGTAGATTTTTGTTTAACCAGTCTGATATAAACTTTGATTCCACTGAACATATGCTTGTATAATATTTCTCTTTAGTATCTAGGCTTATATCTTTAACTATATGATATCTGTTTTAGTCTCTTTTTTTAGTAGAGGAACTTCGGGTATTGTGGTATAGGAGTTTAGTGTGGTATAGTCTACGTAACTACGTTAAGTATAATTTTGGTGCTTAGTTCTCTACGCACTTGTACACATTTATTCAAAGAAATTAGGGGTATTCACGATCCGGTGCATACTGTCTAGCATGGTGCATAGATGAGTACATGAAACCGCTATTATATACTTACGTATGCGAATAACTAGACTTCACAGAGCAATTCTGAGTGAGATAGTTCCAAGTCTTTTGTAAGGCAATTGAAATACAGTAGGAACGAAAGCTCGAAAGATTTTGTTTATTCTGACGCGGAAGTCCTACAAAAAAAGCTCTTTTGCCGACTTGCCTGGTGAATATACAAAACAAATAGAAATATATATCATTTTGCTCACGCTGCTCCAACAGTGACACTGGAGTGAGCAAAGCGCTGGCGTAACATTCGAGTCCTCGGGGGCAAATTTTTACTTTACATTAATTTTATTTTATTCTTGTTTTGTTAATTAAATTTTTATATTTAATTCTTTTAAAGTTAAAATATATATTTGTTAGCTTTATTTAATTTTTAAAAAGTTGTTTTAGGTATTTCTTTAGTTATTTTTTTTTAATTTAATGGTCCTAAAATTTTTTAATTTTAAGGTTTTAAAAAGCAAACTATTTTTTTATTTCATTTATTTCTTTTTTGTTATTTCTTTTATAATTTATTTTCTTTTGATTTTTAGATTTTAGTGGTTTAAAAAGAAAATGATTATTGTTTTTAATTTCATTTAATTGTTAGAAACCAATTTTATTTTTTTATTTATTTTATTATCCTTGTTTCTTACTTTTGTTTGATTTTATTTAACTTTTTAACCGACTTCCAAAAAAGGAGGAGGTTATCAGTTCGTCGGAATATTTTTCTTTTTTAGATTACATTGTCATTGAATATCATGTTGCCCTAGCCTTCTACCGAAAATCACTACATTTTTTTTTTTTATCAACACCTTTACTTGTTTTACTAGTTCTTCAATGCCCTATATTCAGCCACATCTACTCTCATGTGCACAAATATTCACGTAAGTTTTTTTTACTACTTTAGATATGTATTCACGAAGATAACTTCTTGTAATTCAGTTCAATTGCGTTGACTTTACGCTTCAATTATTTACACCAATATAATAACACAGAGCACCCTACTGACACACACAGCGATTTAAAGGCGAACACTACGGGTGCAATGCAATAAATAAATAAATATTGAAAAAATAATCATAAATAAATAATAAAAAATGTACTATCGTGCAGCTACAAACAATTTCCTTCAACAACAAATATAATAAAACATCACCAACAACAACTGTGGGTTAAATCGCACAGAATATGCGATGAGGAAAATTGAGTTGCCTTTGTATTGGAGTTGCATGAGTTCCGCTCTATTTATTTATTTTTTCTTTTTGCTTGCTTTTATTTCGATTTATGTATGTCCTCAATGCTACATACTCCGGCTGCAGGCTATTGTATCTTGCATACAACCCTTTTATTGTGCGGTTTTCAGCACCGCCACAACCGCAGCCAGAGTAAACAACAAAACCTGACAACAACATCGACCTCCACGTGGAAGGTGTGTCAACAAAACTTCAAGCAGGAGTTTTCTTGAGGTTTCACAATTTGCCATAACTTTTTTTCTAATGCAAAATAAATATGGATGGATGACATGGTTAGAACTCTAGTAGCTTGCATAGAAGATAACCGATGCTGGTACGAGTACGTGTGAGTTGCTGCAGCTTTGCCATCATCAGCGTCAACTCCAATAACTGTCGCTTTTGATAGCGAAAATTGCGTTGAATGCATAAATAAATAAAAGTGAACAATCGCAGCTGTGTGTATGTGTGCATGTCATTGTTCGTAGTTTTCGCGCGCACCACGAGATGCAGCCTCCGACAAAAAGGCAAGAGCGTGAGGCCCATAGAGTGTGCTTCACGTTTTTCGTATTCTATGTTTTAGTCTTTTGTGTTCACTTTAAGTTTATCGCTGGTGGTTTGTGACATTTTGATTGTTTTTTTTTGTGATTTTTTTTGTTTGACTTTTTGCTAGTGATTTATTTTGTTTCCATTTTTCTCTTCATCTTTGGTCGCAATCAACTTCTTTTTTTTTCTTTTTTAACGGTGTAGTTGGACTAGGGTATATAAACGACACACAGTGGAATAACTCAGCCATAATTGAAGTCAATAAGGAATCCTCTCAGTCTTGGAAAGGAGGCACGAGTATGCTTTTTAGGCATTTTTTAGATTCGAGAGTACGTTCGGTACTAATACACCTGCTTAGGTACATTTTGAACTGCGCTATAAAAAATTTCAATGAACCGTTTCCCCGGTGGGTGAGTCAAAGATATACAATACTGATAAACTTTTGTGTGTTTAAACAAACACTCAGGCATACGGGCATGTCTAAATCTACTGAACCCGTCGTGTTGACCAATTTGGTATAACTTTCCTCTCACAAAGATAGGATAAAAATTAAAAAAAAAAAAACAAGTAAAGAAGTATTAGTTCGGGCGAAACCGAATTTTATATACCCGGCCCAGGTACCAAATATTGTCGTTCCAACTTTCTTTAAACTACCTAAAAGTCTATAAAAGCCTTATTTATTGTATAGAGGTTGTTATGAGTATTAACTTGGAGTAAATTAACGTCCTCAGTTATTGAAATATCGGAGTTTTCTTATATCCAAAAACTACCGTTATACTAAAACCGGTGCAATTTAAGTCTGATTTGAATAATTTTCAACGAATTGCTTTCTCGTACCAAGGTTATTAAATGCACCAAGTTTGGCAAAAATTGATAAATCGGTTACCGAGATACACATTTGTGGTCATAAGTGGGCGGCACCACGCCCAAAACCCAAAAAGTTATAATGTTCTAATTTTCTGCTCAGTGGTCATTGCAATAATCGATTTTGAGTGAATTAGCTTCAGTAGTTACAGATTTATCGCAGTTTTCGTGTTTCTGTAAATTACCGTTATATATTAGGTAGGCGTGGGTATTTCCCGATTTCAAAGATCTTCAACAAATTTCTTAGCTAAACCCTAAGCAAGGCGCGTACCGGGTTTGAGAACGATTGGTGTAGCGGCTACTAAGATACAGTATTTCATCATAAGTGGGCGAGGTCACGCCCCTTTTCAAAAAATCTAATTACAGTATTATTTTTTACCAAAATTCTACTTCACATTTTCAACAATTAGGATCCAATATTTACTGAAATAACATAGTTTTTGCATTTTTCGAAAATACCGTTATATAAGAAGGGGGCGTGGTTACAGTCCGACCCTACCTTGGATAAAGGGCAACCCGTATACCAAATTTCGTTAAGATATCTAAATTTTTCTCGAGTTATCGTGTACATGGATAGACGGACGGAGGGACGGACAGACAGGCATGGCATAATCGACTTCTCTTTTCATTCTGATCATTTCTGTATACATTTGTCTATGTCTATCTCGATTCCTTAAGGCTGTATAAAAATGAACGATGTTCTGAAAGGGTGTCATTTTAGCTCTTTACCATTTGCGTAAATCCACATGCAATAAAAGATATATAAATCACTTGTCTACTAAACAAACTCATTTAATTATTTTCGCGTTCGCTTTGTGTTGTTTCGTTTCAGTTAAATATTTTATAAACTATTTCCTTTTGAAGTTTTCGTCGCTTTATGATTTCTTCTTCGCGATGTTGTTATGTATGGCCAGTCAACGGCCAAATCGTTTTTTTTTCTCTGTTTTTGCTGAGTGCGCAATTTAAATATTAAATTAGTATTTAACTTGCCAACGCGCTTAAAGGCCGGAAAATGGAAATGAAGGAGTTTTAATTTTAATAGCGTCGAAAGAGCGGTTAAGAAAGAATGAAGTAAAAGAAAGGAATATTTAAAGTTGTCAAAAAGCTTGGATGCTGATATAATTATAAAAGAGAATTTAATTATAATGCGACGTGAAAGTTTTTGTTACATTTCTTAAGAGGTTTACTAAAAAATCAATTTAAAACAGAACAAATACGAAGTCTAAATAAGTAGGAGTGTAGTCTATTAAAAAAATTTTTCTAGATGTTTTGTATTTTAAAAGGATTTTCTTAGAAATAATATACAACTTCATTGATTATAAGAATTCTGAAATCTAGAAATATAACAGCGGAACTAGGAAGCAGTTTTCTATCTGTCTTACTATGCATACTGGTGGTGGATGAGCTCCTGGACGTTCTACTTTGCATTCCCTGAAATGAAGCAAAGAAGCGAAACAAATAAAATATTATAGGCCATTTTACTTTACATTACCGGCAATGCCCAAAAGAAGCGAAAAAATTCGAAAGCATTATGACGCTATGCCTTTTGGAATATGTTACCACTAAAAGTGATTACCGATATTTTGCTGGGAAGTAAATAAAATTTATTTTTACTACGCATAAAAACTTATTTCTTTAAAGTCGTACTACTTTTTTGAAATTTTAGAGGATGGGGCATGTTCGTACTATTTCAAACACAATAGGTCGGACTTTTTAGCTTCCAGGACTACCATTTGAAGAAAGAAAATCGGAGGTATCCGACAATTTAAAAAAAAAAAACATCGTTCCGGGGAAGTGTGTTCATGCGTATGTATTTATCATTCCAAATATTTGCTACATTTATGCGCGCAAACGTAGAAGGACACCTTGGTTTGTTTACACTAAGAATATATCAATTTCATTAAATCAAAAACACACACCTACATACATATGCTTATGAACATACGAGTACAAGAAAAGTACATATATGTATGTATGTAGTTTCTTTGATCTGCTTCTCTTTTAAGCTGTAATTAACAACGAAGCAAACACGTGTTAATTTAATTAAAATAACCAGAAAACAAACGCGTGTACTTATGTAAAGGTAAACTATACTGTTTACTATATAAATACACATACTTGTTTAAACGCATACATATGTAAGTAAATAATTACATTGAGTGTATGTAAACAAAAAACCAAAAAAAAAAAAACTAGTACTACGAAACAGCCTTCAAGTCGGAAAATATGGTACTTAATCGACACATCACTATCCATGTTGACAAAACTTTTATATATTAATACGATTAAAATGATACTTCCACTTGAAAGGCATAATTTGCACCGGTAAATTGGAAAGATCTGAAGGAAAAAGAACAAGAACCGTTTATAACACAAAAAGTACTGCTTAACCTCAGAAAATTTCAATTATAACGTAAGCAAATACAGTTTTGCTATTATGGACCAGATGGCAACGGGTTACAAATCTAAATAAATTATTAGTTGCGTTCCAGCAGCAGTATGAGTAGCAGGTTTTGCAGGATTTTACAGGATTTGCAGGAAAAGCTGTTTTTGCCATTAATAAACCTTATGTAAGGTGACGTGCGGAAACAGCTTCCTGCAAAATCCTGTAAATTGCTGCAATTCGTACTGCTGCTGGAACGCAACTATTATATAAATACCTACATATGCAAATGTAGGCCCGATCAGACACTGCGTATACGCAACAACCCACTTGCTCACAGTAGTGGTTAGTGAGGACTAATAAACCGGCAACGAATGGCCTCGAAAAAGGCTTACCAGGCATTAATTAACAAATAAAAGAACATTTCATTATAAAAGTGTGGAATCCATTATCTTTTAGTGTAAACTATGCGCCACTTTCGACTGTCCCAAAACATGTTTTGCCTCTGTCAGAAAATAAAATCAGTTTAATTGCACTACCATTTGCAAACATACATATGTACACGTATGTATTCTAAGCACTAACCCAGCAAAAAACACGATTACCGCAGAAATTAAAATACTTACCCTTTCGCTTCAAGAAGGCATCATTTTAACATACGCATGTCATTGGCCGTAAGCCCTTACACGCGGCATTACCTTCGAACAAAGGCGGAACGCATGGATAAACGGAATCCGTAGAAGCGAACAAAGAATACCTTACGTAGAAACTAATAGAAGAATAGTGCCTAGATAAGAAAATATTTATGTATATTAATTTGAAAATAGAAAATAAAAATTGTCTTAAAAAGTTAAAATTAATTAAACTTTTTATACATCAGTTTTTATACATATATACATACATATTTAATTAATGTTCTACACTTCATTGGCTGACTTCAACTTTGCTGTAAATAAAAGAAAGCAAGAAATGATTTTTATGCGATGGAAATTTCCACAAAAAGTAACGGTAGAAAAGAATTTTCGGGTATTGATTCCATTTTTCAGCTGGCTACGATGCAGCATTCTACGTTGCATTCCCCATAATGAATCAAAGCAGCGAAGTTAATAAAATATTGTAGAACATTCTGCTATGCCTTACCAGCAATGCCTAAA